TGAATACCTACGAAAATGAGATAAAAACAATTAAATTCAATGATATTTACACGATAATGCAATATATACATTATAACATAAACTATATCGTATATACTAAAGTTGAGGTTTATTAACAAAAAACAAACGAATTAAATTGATGAATGCTAATTATTCACACTCAAGCTCACAAAAATTTAGCACTCATCAAATATCGTGGTTCGCAGAAGAAGAAAGAAGAAGATATCTTCTGCAATTTTTTTCTTTTTCTTTTTTTAAATATATTATTTAGATATTTGAGAATTAGAAGATAGAAGTAGCGGTTACTGCAATTTAATTCTTTCCTACTAGTCCCAATTTATACCCTCATATTAGATTTTTTTTTCAATTTTATTTTAATCTCTACTTTGCCTTTAGGCCTTAGCATGTGACTAAATTAAGTCTTATTGCAAACAAATGGGTCTAAAAAATAACACTTAAATTTTAGAATAAGATAATTCAACCTATTTATTTTATCTTTTCTTTATTTATTTTATGTTGTTAATTTTTTAAAAAAGAACGGGATTACAAAATGAACCTATTTTAATTATATTTTATTTTGAGATTTTCTAAACTAGTGGAATAAAAATGATATTGATTGATCGGTCACCATTTCTATCTAATTTTCATCATGCATGTGATCTAAAGTCTGCCAATTAAGTAACATTTTATGTTAAGTTTTATTGTTTTCTTAAGTATTTTATGTCTAGCTGATTTTCTTGCATTGTATTTTCTTTGAGTTATTTTGATGCTTTTAATGCTTTTTGTTGGTAGTATGCATATCTCAGATCAGTAGGGATAGTCTAAAGCAAGAGTACAGAGTATGGAACAAGAGTACAAAGGCCAAAGAGAAAAAGTGCAAGCATATGAAGACCAACACGGTACGTGTCCCATGACATGACCCGTGTCAGCATAGCAAGCCATGCTCATACAAAGAACCCGAGGGCCAAAACGGGTGCCCGTGCTTCCTAGTACGGCCCGTGTCAAAAGGCCTGAAGCAGGAGAAAAGAGAAGCAATTTTGTGAAGCAACACGGCCCGTGTGGGCTCAACACGGCCCCTGTCGTCCTGTGCGTCAGCTATTTTATTTTGGTCCCTTTTTATTAAATATTGCCCTTGAGGGCACTTTAGATATTCCAGCTTGCTGAGATTTGTACCTAGGTATTTATTTGAGTTTTTGAGTGAGAGGCATACACTTTTTTGCATTGTACAATAGAGAACACACAAGAGAGAAGATTGCTTCATCAAGGTTATTGGAGACGAAGGGATTCAAGAGTTTCCACCATTGAAGATCAAAGTACACCTTTATTCTTAAAATGTTTAACTTCTTAATTATGTTTATCTTGAATATTATGAGAGGCTAAACCCCCCAATGCTAGGGGTGGTCCTGAATTGGTTTATGCAATGGATATGAATTTCTAGTTAATCAAAGTTGAATTCATGTTTTTCAATTTAATTATGCAATGTGTTTATGCTTTCTCTTTCGGTAAAATTGGGAATGATTTATGGCTAACAAGTGCAGTACTGTTAGGGTTTTTGCATAATTGGATTATAGTAGATACGACCTAGGACTAGGAGTACCCTATAATTACCACAGACAACCTTGTTATTATAATTGCTTGAATTCACTTTTTATCTTCATGGGTATAGGGATTAAGGGTGAATGTTCAAGGGTTTTTCACTATGGACATAGGGAAAAACAATCTATAGGTTGGTATATGAAAAACATAAGTTTAACCGTTGAGAGTATTAGAATTCATATCTTTGCAATCCAGGTCAACCACTTCCCCTAACATGTTTTGTTCTTCTAAAGAAAAGTCAAGTTATTTTCGCGTTATTGTTTGTGAAAAGATTTCATCAAAACAAATCAACCAATTATTTTTGTTCAATTGAACTACTGGGGAACTTAATATTTACTACGCACTCCTCGAGATCGATCTTTGGGGTAAACTCATTATTACTACATCGGTTAAAAAAGTACACTTGCTATTTTCCCGATCATTGATAAATTTGAAAAAAATAAATTAAATCGGATAAAATTGAGGCGCTACAAAAATGATAGATGGTCTCTTAAAGAATATTGACTTCAAGAAGTATGTACTCGAACATGGTATGTATGTGAAGAAGGATACAAGTGAAAGGGTGATAATCCTTTGTCTTTACTTAGACGATTTGTTGGTTACGGGAAGTGATAAAAAGTGAATTTTTAAGTTCAAGAGTGAACTTATGAAAGATTTTGAGATGACCGACCTTGGCCTCATGACATACTTCCTTGATATTGAGTTCCACAAGTTCAAGAAAGGACTGCTCATGCACCAAAGAAGGTATGCGCTTGAGGTTTTGAAGAAGTTTGAAATCGATCATTGTAATGTTGCCATTACTCCAGTTGAACAGAGGCTATAGTTGTCGATGAATTAGGATGAGTAAGATGTTAATCCAATTCACTATAGGAGGATAATTGGATCCTTGCGTTACTTGTGCAATACACAATAGGATTTGGATTTTAGTGTCAGTATTGTGAGCAGATTCATGGAGAGAGCGAAGGTGACTCACTTGACAGCAGTCAAAAGGATTCTAAGATATGTCAAAGGATCCATTGGTTGTCGAATTATTTTTTTCCTAATGGACACATGCATAAAATGCAATTTGATCAGTTTTACTGATTTCAACTGGAACAAAGATAAAGATGATTGAAAGTCTACAGTTAGATACATTTTTATGTTTGATGAAACACCAATTATATCGTGTTTGAAGAAGGAACCAGTAGTAGCACTCTCTTATTGTGAGGCCGAGTACTTTGTCACTTTATTGTGTGCGTGCCAAGCCATGTGGTTAATGAATATGTTGAAGGAGCTGGGAAGCAAAGTGGGTGACATTGTAATACTCATGGTTGATAATTTTTCCACTATAAACCTGACTAAGAACTGAATTGCACATGAGATGAAACTACTTGAGAGAATTTGTTAGTGAAGGAATGTTGAGATTAGAATGTTGTAGAAGTGAAGACCAAGTGGCCGACTTGGTGACCAAAGGAGACACAACTGAAGTGTTCAAGAGATTAAAGAAGAACATGGACATGGAAGACTTGGAGCACTTGAATTAAGGTGATGTGTTGTTAAAAAAAATCAATAATTCAAGTGTTGTAACTGGTTACTGCGTCCTTATAATCGGTTACAGGGTGTAGTGTTTTTAGTTGTTAGAATAGGTGTAACCGGTCACTGGGTTTTGGTAACCAGTTACGATTATGTTGAAATTGTTTTCAAAAACAACTGTAATCAGTTACCGGTTTGGCGTAACTGGTGGTTACATGTAGTTAGTTTCAGTTTTTCAGTTTTGATACTTGTGTCCCAATCAATTGTAATTTTATATAAATATTCAAAGGGTGTCTCAATCAATATTAATGTGCATTTTCACCCTTAATTATACTCTCTAATTCTTTCTCTCCCTCTTCACACTAAATTATTCTATTTTCACCAACCTTATAATTTCGTTCTAACAAAGAGAAGTTAATTGAGTAGTGTATTTTTTATTTATAAAGAGAGTATTTTTATATGCAATAACAAAGATTAATATCGCAAAAAATATTATAAAAATTGGACTGTTCATCAAACTGGTGAGGATATTGGATCAATGGTTCAATTTTCAAACAATTGGGTCATTAGTCAAACTGCATGACTAAATCAGATTAAATCAGATAACTCAGTTGAATAAATTGATCTCTATAACAAAATTATATAATTATTAAACTGGTTGAACCTGATGACTCGGTCTCTAAAAAATATTACGACACCTACAAATTTTCAAATTTTCAAAATATTCTAATTTTACAATTTTATTCTTAAGTTCAAATTTTAAATATAGTCATCACACACAATAAATATTACAAAATATAAATCTAAATAAATTTTGAATAAAATCTAATTGCAACATAATGTGAATAACATGATTAATAAATTTAAGACACATGATATATGGACACCAAAAAGTGACACCTTAATTGGACACTGTATGTATATTCAAATATGCATGGATTTTTCTTTTGATTCGAAAAGAGGAGAGAGAAATTAATAAAAATAAAATTGAAATCGTATTTGTATACCTTGTGGGTGAAGCATTCATATGTCAAAATAATTTATCTCTAAATTTATTTTTAAGGAGGTAAAATTGTTTCAAATAAGTTTTGAGCAAGATTATTTATATTTTAATTTTAATTTTTTTTTTAAATTATCAAAATGACATTGTTTTGTCTGAGAAAAATATAAAGTAATTAAACTCTCAATTTTCCAAAATTGCCAGTTCTCTGATTTTTTTTTCTCGATTCTGATCGGTTCACACCAATTTAATAGTTTATCCGTTTCAGCAATTAGACCAGATCAATGATCCTGTTCTGATTCCTGATCTGATTGATTCGATCCGTTGATTTGATTTTTAAAACACTAATATCAAATTAGGAAGGATCATGAATTCCAAAATTCTAAAAGTGATTTATAATTAAGGAAATTTTGACTAAATTTGTCTCGTTAAAACAACTCAATTGATAACTGCACTGCACATATATATTAGATGTAGAGACATGATTCGAATCAATGGTACTTGACAAAAAAAGTTTTTGATTATAATTTTATCAATAAATATTTAAATTTAAATTCTTTGAAATAATTTATTTTAAAATATAATAATTATATTACTTTTATTATTGGAGTTCCTCTTATGTAGCTCCAGATTGAATCTATATAAATTTAGAATGATTGACCTGACCTACTCTTTTAATACAATATGATAGCCTTTTTATAGTTATTCTAACAACCAATTTTGTTTGTTAAACTTGCAAACATTACTTAATCGTCACGCCACTCGAAACATAAATAACTCTTCCTCTTCCTTCCGACCACAGTGCGTCAACAACAATAACATCTCCATAACCGCCACTAACCAGATTGTGATTTGGTTGAATTGATAAATGAAGAAGAATAATAATAATGATATGAGCGAGTTGACTCAGGGAAGCGAGATGCACTCGCCGGTAACTCATCAACCATGGGGAGCACTGTTAAATTTGTTGGGTTTTTTCTATCAGTTTTTTTCTCAGATTATTGGATCCCTCGCGCATTTTCCTTTACTCTCTTTCTCTTTGCATAAATCATTCAAATCTCTACCCAATATTGATCATGATTACGATCTTCAAGTCACCTCCGACGCCGGTCATCGCCCTCTCCGAAAGCTCACGGTATCATATCATTCATTTTTCCTTCCATTCTTTTTATTATTCGGATCTATATGATTCAAAAGACTTTTTTTTGTTTAATGCATTGTGTTAGCGTTGACATTATTACATGAGATTTTTGTTATGGGTTCATACTGCTGTGTTAGATTAGATATAATTGGATATCGATTACAATTAGTTCAATGTTGTTTAAGGTTTTTTACTAGTCAATTATGATTAGTTAGAAGTTGGTTATATTAGTTACACTCTCTTGATCAACTTCTTTGTATTATAATTCCAAAAAAAATCACTCCAAAAACTAGTTCTTAGCATTTCTTGTAAAAATTGAGGTTATGTGATAGAAACCAAACATGAAACACATGCAGCACGTGTTTGACCCCACGTCCTTGCCTACCTTATTGTGTGCCTTGGGATGCAAGAAACAGAAAATTGCAAAACCAAAGAGATGTTTAATATAGCTAGAATCAGATTTAACCGGAAAAAAAATCAATTATGAAACAATCTAGCATTGGGGTGGCAAAACGGGCCCGACCCACCGGACGTACCTGTTTTATCGACAGTTTTTTGCAGATCGGACCAAGGGTTTAAGACTGCACCCTTTAATATGTTTGTCATATCCCATCTTTTTTTTGTGTTTTTAAGCTTAACATGTGTTGTGTTCGCAAACCCGATGTGTCTTCATTTTTTTTCCGGTGCGGGCCAATGTTTTGAGTCTGCACCCTTAACTATGCTCGCTCCGTTCCATTTTTTTTAGGCTTTTGCAGGGCGAGGCTAAACGGGACGGATATGCCTCTTTGCCACCCCTAATCAACATAATATGAATGCTCTTGTTGATGTGATAAAAATATATTGTAGAATGTATTCTTCATTTGTTTACTACATGTATCATATTTTGTTGAATAAATTCACATAATTAGGTGCATATTGGCATGATATGTATTCTAGATGAAACTATAGTTATGTCGTGTTTTGGCATCTTATGATGATGGTGATAGTTCTGATATTCTTGTTTTGTTTTTACATTGCAGCATCCTGCACTAATTTCTTCATTATGATTTTCTACTGATTTTAATTGTACATTCTGATCTCACATTTGCACTTGAAGGTAGTGCTTGACTTGGATGAAACTCTAATATGTTCATATGAGACATCAAGGTTGCCAGATACACTAAAAACTAAAGCAACGCAAGCTGGTTTAAATTGGTTTGAACTCGAATGTGTATGCGCTAACGAGGTTTGTTACTTGATTACTTCTATCTGATTCCTTTCCTTGTATTTTGATCAAATAATAAATCTTGTGTCTTCAAGGAAGTTGATGGAAAACCAAAAATCAATTATGTCACCGTCTTTGAACGCCCCGGGTTGAAAGAATTCCTAAGGCAACTAAGCGAATTTGCTGAACTGGTTCTGTTTACTGCTGGTCTTGAAGGTTATGCTAAACCACTTGTTGACATAATAGACACAGAAAATCTATTTAGCCTACGACTTTATCGACCCTCAACGGTCAACACGTAAGTACTTATTCATTTCTTTTTCATCGGTCTATATGTATTGTTTCTATGAATGATGGATGAACTTGTCCCACTTGTATTCTTATAATTGTTGAATGCTTACAGCAAAAATCGCGAACATGTAAAAGATCTTACGTGCATATCAAAGGATCTAAGTCACATTGTTATTGTAGACAACAATCCTTTCAGTTTTTTATTGCAGCCGAATAATGGAATTCCATGCGTACCATTTTCTGCAGGGCAACCAGATGATACACAGGTGCATATTCATGCTCTTGACTATTCTAATCAGTAATCAACAATCTGATTTAAGATGATTTATTTAATTAACTTCTCTTGTGTCTTTATTATGTGTGCTCATCAGCTTATAGATGTGATTCTTCCACTTCTCAAACACCTCTCTGACCAAAAAGATGTTAGAGATGTGCTCCATGATGCGTTCGGTATGCCTGAATGGTTCCAACAACATGGGTTTCCAGTTCCAAGTTAACATCATTAGAAGTTTTTTTTTTATTACTCTTGTTGAGTTTTTGTCTTAAGAATAGTTGATCATTCAACACCATTGATTTAAATGTATATTGTCAATTTGTTCCTGAAGCATCTATAGATTTCAAATGTTGCTTCTTGAATCAAATCATCTCCTCATTTATACATGTAGATCACTACAATTTTGATTCTTGTTGGCTTCAAATTTAGTACCTCGTATATCTGTCACAAAATTTAGTACCTCATATACTAGGCACGGGCCTAAATAAAATTAATTATGCTTATGTTTTTCTCATCTATTAATGTCTTTTAGTTTTATTTTTTTGTGGTCAATCATACATAGATAAACAAGAAGGGTAAAGGATTTTTTTATTTTGAATGTTAGAACTTGAAAAATAAAGTATAATTGAAGGTGAGAATGCACATTAATATTGATTGAGATATTTTTTGGGCATTGGCGGTTCCATCATACGGCCAGCTTGGATAAATGTTCAGGCTCGGTGAAGCCCAAATTTTTTTTTAGTATTTATGTTTTTTTTTTAAATAAATAAAATTATTAGAAAAAGAAAAAAATAGTGAAACCTATAATTGGAAAAACCTAAAGAGAAAAAAGATTATTGAATAACAATCGTCGCCGTTATCTTTCCTTCTCTGTTCAATTTGTCGTCGCCAACTTCTCTTACAGTTCTATACCATTCCTACAGCAGGTAATGTAAAACTTTAACTTGACTATTAAATGACAAATGTGTGTGTTTCTCTTTCTATATAATACAAATATACTACATGTGTTTGACTAGGTAAGTTAACCTATTTGATATGTTTGTCACACCAAGAAATAAGGATCTAGATATTACTAATAATATGCCGGTAAAGAATTAGATAGACACGTATATAATTTTTGTCTTTTTGTACTTTTATTACACTGGAAAGTTGATAAATGTTCAATGCAAAAAGTTTAATTTAAACTACCAAACTAGTACAACATTGAATTGACATATTTATAATTACAAATCAATTAGTGATTATGTTACTTACTATTTTTCAAATGAAACTTATAGTAATAAGTGTATATATTATACTTGTTTAATTCCATATTTGATTCTAATTTATTGATTAGAGTTTAGGTTGTTTGATTAACTATGTAATAATTTATTTATTTATTAGAGTTCAGGTTGTTTGATTAACAATGTACAATTATAAATACTAATTTATTTATTAGAGTTTTAAATTTTGTTTTATTTGTTTGAAAATCATTGTTTATTCTTATTTGTTTTATTTGATTATTATTCTTTTAAATTTTGAAACTACAATTTTGTAACTATTTTATCTTTTGTTCAGAGATGATGAGATTTTTCGTTGCTAGAGAAAATATTGAGAATATGAATGTTGTGCAATCAGAAGCTGAATTAGAATCACTGTCTAATGTGGTTAATAAGTTTAATCCAAATGAGATTGTGTGTGATCTAGGTCATAGGAAACAAATTAAAAAGTATGTTTCGGATATTCAAAACCAAGTGAGGAGGGCATATATATTGAAGGGTCCAATACAACCAGATTTGCGAAGCTTTCCTCGTACTCCATTTGGGAGTGTTAAAAGATCATTTAGTAAATTATGGTATAAGAATTATACATGGTTAGAATACAGTGAGATAAAGGATACAACTTATTGTTTTTATTGCTTTCTCTTTAAGAAATCCGGAAGGGCCGAGCACTTTGGTTTTGAAGTCTTCACTAAAAGTGGATATAGAGATTGGAAGCATGCATCTCAAGGCTTGAAAGGTCATGTTGGTAGTCATAATAGTTTACACAACTCATGTGTCAAGCACTACGATGATTATAATAATCAAATACAAAGTGTGAAAAGTAAGTTTGTTAAAGCAACCGAGGAATCAAAAGAATTGTATAAGATTCGTTTGACTTGTTCTGTAGATTGTTCAAGATATCTCATACCACAAGGCATGGATTTCTGTGGCCATGATGAATCCTCTATTTCTCTAAGTAAGGGTAATTTTAGGGAGATAGTAGATTGGGTAAAATTTCAGAATGAACAAGTGAAGGATGCTTTTGACCATGGTGGAAAAAATTACACAATGACTACTGGTGACATTCAAAAGGAGATTGCAATGTGTTTTCCAATTTTCATTACCTATTATTTTTTATGCCACCAAGTAAACTTATTGAATTTATTTTAGGTTTTTGAATGAAAAAGGGAATGTTGTGGAACAATTTATTGCTCTACATCAAGCCAAAGATACTACGTCATAGTCATTAAAGGATGCTCTTTATGGTATTATTGATAAGTACACGTTATCAATTTCAAGGATACCAGGGCAAGGATATGATGGAGCTTCAAATATGAGAGGTGAATTTAATGGTTTGCAAGGAAAAATTCTAGATGAAAACCCTTATGCTTTCTATGTTCATTGTTATGCTTACCGTTTGCAATTAGTTGTTGTGTCTGTTTCTAATAGTTACTCATCTATTCATGATTTCTTTGCGTACATCTCCTTGATTGTAACCATAACAAGTGCATCTTTTAAGAGGAAAGATGCTTTGATGGAGGCACAACACCAATATATTTTAAATAAACTTGAGTGGTCAGATATCTAGAGGAAAGGGCTTGCACCAATCATCTAGTCTCACTAGACCCGGGGATACTAGATAGGATTCACACTATACTACATTGCTTCGTTTGGATCATATGTGGTCCTCTATGTTAAAGGTACTTAGTATGGTTGATGAAGATGGACGTGGACCATCTTAAGCAGCAGTTTTGATAGAAAAAGTGGAGAGATTTAAATTTTCTTTCATTTTGAAGTTAATGTTAAAGTTGTTTGGCATCACAAATGAGCTTTCAAATGTCTTGCAAAGAAAAGATCTTAATATTGTGATTTCCATGGAATCAGTTGATGATATCAAAGCTCGGTTGGCCACAACGAGAAATAGTGGTTGGGATAATTTATTTGCCGATGTCCAAGATTTTTGTGTTGCTAAAGGTATTCCGGTTCCAAATATGGATGACGAAATACCGATCCGGGGTCGTTCAAGGGTAGAAGGGAGGACTATCACTAATCTTCATCATTATTGTGCAGAGATTTTTTATGTTGCTATTGACATTATCCTTAATTACTTCTCATGTCTTGACCCCAAGAACTCTTTCTTCAATTTTAATATTGATAAGCTTGCTCGTCTTGCTGATATTTATCATGCAGACTTTTCTGATGATGATCGAGGAACAATAAGGGATCAACTTGACACTTATGTTCTTCAAGTGAGAAGAAATGCTTCATTTTCCACTTGTGAAGATGTTTAAAGTTTGGCTAAGAAGATGGTTCAAAATGAGAAACATTTGGTATTTCCATTGGTTTATAAACTTGTTGAGTTAGCTTCGATATTGTCGGTGTCGACAACATCCGTTGAAAGAGCTTTTTCAGCAATGAAGATTATCAAGTCTAACTTGCGCAATAAGATCAATGATTCGTGGTTCAATGATTTGATGGTATGTTGCACTGAGAGGGAGATATTCAAGTCACTTGATGATATTGATATTATTCGAACATTTACCCCAAAGAAGTCTCGAAAAGGACACTTGCTTCGTGATTTTATTTAACTTGTTATTGTAAGGTTATGTTCATCTCTTTTATTTTAAACTATATTTTTGTTGACAAAATGACGAGTCTCTTTTATTTTGATTGATAAATATTTATATATTATATACAATGTGAATTTTGTGGTCTTTAATTTTTTGCCCAGACTTTATAATTTTTCTGGTTCCGCCACTACTTTTGGGTATTTATACAAAATTACAATTGATTAGGACACAAGTAACAAAATTGAAAAACTAAAATTAACTTCTTGTAACCGGTTATGTCAACCTCTATTGGTTACAATTGTTTCTAAAAAGAATTTCAACATAGTGGTAATCGGTTACCAAAACGCAGTAACTGATTACACCTGTTCTAATAGCTAAAAATATTATACCCTGTAACCAGTTACCAAAATATATTAACCAATTACAACACTAGAATTATTGAATTTTCACAATACACTACCTTAATCCAAGTGCTCCAAATCTTACATACCCATTTTCTTCTTCAATCTCTTAAACACTTCAATTGTCTCCTTTTGTCAGTAAATCAACCAGTTGGTCTTTACTTCTACAATATCCCAATATCAACCTTTCTTCACTAACAAGTTCTTTCAAGTAGTGAAATCTCATCTCAATATGCTTGCTACTTCCATGTGTAATTGGGTTCTTAGTAAGGTTTATAGCGGAAGCATTATCAACCATGAGTGTTACAACATCACCTTCTTCGCTGGTCAGCTCCTTCAACAAATTAATTAACCACACAACATGGCACGCACACAACAAAGTGGAAATATACTCAACCTCACAAGAAGATATTGCTACTACCAAATCAATCTTCGAACACCATGAGATTGGTGTTTCACCAAACATAAATATGTATCCAGTTGTAGACTTTCTATCATCTTTATCTCTACACCAGTTGTAATCGGTAAAACCGAACAAATTGCATTTCTTGCTCGTGTCCATTGCGGGAAAAACAATTCCACAACCAATAGATCCTTTGACTTATCTTAGAATCCTCTTTACTGTTGTCAAGTGAGAAAATTTCAGTCTCTCTATGAATCTACTCACAATACCGACACAAAATGTCAAATCTGACCGCGTATTGCATAAGTAACGAAGTGTCCAATCAACCTCTTGTACTTAGTTGGATTAACATCTTTCACATCCTCATTCTCCGATAACTGCAACCTTGGTTCAATCAGAGTAATGGCATCATTACAATGCTCTATTTCAAACTTCTTCAACATCTCAAGTGCGTACCTTCTTTATTGCATGAGCATTCCATTATTGGACTTGTGAAACTCAATCGATTCCAACTCCTCCTTCATAGCACAACTCCATTTTGGATCACTCAATGCCTCTTCCATTTTAACGAGTTCAAATTCGCCCATAAGTGCAAAATGGACGAAATT